GTAGATATAGACGTGTGTTTGGGAATGGAATAGCAAAATTGTCAAACCCCAAACCTAAACTCTAGACCCGGCTCATGAAAGCTACCTACCTAAGTAGGATTTGGGTTTACGAGATCCATGGGCAGACAGTAGAAGACGAAGGATCCTCGTACGGGGTTGACAGTTGAGGGTTCTGGGAAAGAGACCGACCAGACCAACATAATCCTCTACTTACCTACCGCAACTGCTTGAGCACTGCCCCAGAAATGGCATGAGAGCCTCCCAAAACAAGCAAGACGGCTCCTGGCGCCGTAGGTGCGCAATGCGTCCGCTGGCCAACTTGCTGCTGGGCTTTTGCTGTGCAGAGGCTTGTCACAAGCGCAAGAATGTGGCGCTGGAATGGTTGCACAGATTTTTGGCAACAAGATCTCTCCATTATTGAAATCAGCAGCAGATGACGATAATTCGGACGCAGCCATGGTCTCATCAAAAAGTACTCGTTTGATTGTGGATCAGGCAGTTGACTCATGGGAGCAGGTCCCCTGTTGAAAATTCGGACTTCCTACTCTGTTTTAAGTTTGACAGTTGTAACATAATGTCTAATGAAGCCCAGCTGCTGATCAACCCAAACAGCGCCATTTACGCCATACCTGATTCTACGCTTGAATCAGGTTGAAGCACGATCTCTGAAATCAGCTTGGCAGATGGTGTCAGACCAGCCCTTTCCGCACACCGAAGCCCACAAGGCAAAGCTGTAATTCACTCATGATGAAGCAGTCAGCAATCCATTGCTAACACACGCGTGCTACTTCTGTGACAGGTCTTTTGCGATGCCTACATTTATCGAATGAAGACCGAACTGAGGAGTCTGAATTACATTCAAGCAGCTTGGCAGCAATCCCAGTGGGCTTGACACAGGAAGACTTTTGAGTAGTACCCTATAGCAAAATATCACTGAACGTGAAGACTTGAAGACGCTGTGCCCAGATACTCACCGACGGCGGCAAAATCGGCAATGATAAGATGACGCTCTATACCTTCTGGTCGACGGAGCTGGCAGCCGGGGCTGCTCTGCCTCCAAAGGCCTTGCGCTTGCTCACTTAGATGGGAAATGCATGAAGCAAAATTGCGTCACAAATGTCCTCTGTCGTTGCAGAAGCACTTGGTTCTTGTGACAGCGCAGATTCAGATCCAGACTGTTGATCCTTCAGAAGTGCCATCACGAGAAGAATGACTGAGTAGCTGTATAAGTTGTTCTGCAGACTCAAAAGGGCGGCGTAATTAGATCAGATCAGGGCTCAGCTGTAGCCTGCGTTGAGCGCCATGAACGCGGACAACTTTGCAGCTCGCTTTTCTTGGATGGATGTTGTATGGAATGTGCTTAGTGAGCGATTGACCACTGCTGAAATCCGAAGTAGCATGCTGCTGAATTCTCGCGGTTCGGATACGGACTTCAGTGGACATGGGTGCTGGGAGCTTGCCGCCAGCATGATCGACAGTGGCCTCAGAAAGCATGGACTGCTCGTAGACCTGGGCCCCAGATCAGCTGGCGCTCCTCAGCTGCATGGTTCTGCGTGCAAGCAGATATTCGGAAGGTTGGTTTAGGTCATGTATAGGGGAGCCTAGGATTTCGATGTCCACTGCCAACGCCATCTTCTGAACGCCTTGCCATGCAGCACATGCATCTTTGGAGACATCATGGATATCTTCGGTAATGGTGCACTTTGGACGGAGTGGCTGCAACGAAGACCAACATACTGGGACAAGAAACGGATGATCTATCAGCACGCCCAGGTGCAGGAATCAGGCTTCTGCCTTCGGCATTTGCGGCACTGCCCGTATGACACGGGCGCTCGGCTTCGTGTTGGGGGCCCACCTTGCACTGACTATAGTCCAGCCGGTTTATTGCAAGGGGAGAATGGACCGACTGCTGGAACCCCAATAGCCTACGGTGTCAAAACAGAAAGCTCTTCTACGGCCCTGGTGTGCTTTGAGAATGTACCAGGCTGTCCTGATTGGCTTCGCTCAGACAACCTTCCAAGTTTTAGCGTGCAGCACTTTGACATAGCGCCAGCCGATTTTGGGTTCACTGCAATGCGCAGGGACAGGCCAGGAGCGGGTGTGGAGGAGGGCGTATGGGAGTGACGTGTGTAGTGAGAAGCTTAAGCTGTGAATCTGGTTCAATGTCTCAAACTAAGGGGCCAAAGATAAACACAAGTAAGTCAACTTGGTGACTTTTGATTGCCTCTGGGTCTGGGACTTTCGGTAACAATCTCAGACCAACCAAATAGCTTTAAATGGCTACCCGCGTGTATTACCTTCTCCCTGAACCTTGTGACAACATCTGTCAGGGTGTACAGTCTCGGCCATCGCGGAGACCGAGTGTCTGGAAATGGTCAGGACGTTCGGGTTCTGTTGGAGCTGGCCCAGAATCAGCTGAAGCGTGAACAAGTGCTCCGGTCGCCCGTTGCAGTTTATGGATCCAAATGCGCTGCGTGGTGCATAATTCAGGTTTGGCAGCGAAAGGTAACTAAGGCGTTTTGAGCTTAAGAATTTTAGACCTTTTTTCTCCAATAAGAACGTCCAGGGGTGCTCGCTTGGATTTGGTCATGGTGACCAACATGCCGTGGTTTCTCTGTCCCCTGCAAAAGCTGAGGCCCAGTGATTGTCTGCTATCCTCGCCAGAGGATGTCCAAGAAGATGCCCGTGCCATAGCTGATATGCGTAGGCACTTGAAGCAGGCCAATTTGGCTGGCGAACTGACTTTGAATACCCTGCTGTCACCAAAGGAGATAGAAAGATTGCAAGTGTACAAAGAAAAATTCTTTCAGCTGGAACCCGCTGAACGTTGCGCGTACAAGGACTTGACACTGCACATTGGGGATAACCCAGCAGGCGGCTGGCTCACTTGGAGCGCTAGGTCCCACGCTGTTCCAACTTTGAGGCATGCAACTTCTTTGTATGTCGCTGTTGAGAAGAGCCGTCAAGTGACACTCCGCGAACTATACGGCCTTATGGGATACCCAGCTTTTGCTGCATTGTCTGCAGCGGCCAATGTACCCCTGTATAACCCGTTCCAGTACAAAAGAAGCTGGTCGGAAGCCCGCAAGCAGTTGGGCAATGGCATGCACATTGCATGCGTCGGAGTTTTGGTAGCTGTCTGGCTGTCAAGTTACAAGCCACGCTAGGGCCAGGGACAAAGACAGTGATTGCAGATGCGATCGGAGACTGAAATGGCGCCGCTTCTTCTTGATTGCAGATGCACCATGACTGAGCACGTGAGGCATCAATTAGTTGATTTCCACACCTGCTTGACTCTGCTTGGCTTGACTTTCTGATATCAATTTTGATTTCGTGCAGCCTGCAGCCAGTTGTGAGGGTGCTCATAACGTCATACCTATTGTCGCTCCGCGTGGTCATTGTCATGTCAATGCCCAGCCCGGATGAGCTTGCGATGGTGCCCTACCGTGCTCCGCCTTCTCTTGAGGGTTCTGGTCGCAGGGCCCAGGCAGCTGCCGCATTCATGCGCGCAGCACATGATGCGGGCTTCGAGCCTCCTGCGCCACGAGGCTCCCTGAGCATTGCGTTTGAAAGTTTCCTGATGCATCTGCGAAAGAGTTGTTCGGACTTAGGCCGTACCCGCGCTCCCCGAGCTGCCAACGACAATCAAGCCTTGCCGCGTTCCCGTGGTCGTGGCCGTCCAGCTGAGCCTAAGGCTGCGCCCAAGCGCCGAGCTGCCGCTACCAAATTGAACAGCAAATTTAATTGCATGGAAAAGATGCCAAAGGACGATCAGATTGAGGCGTTGCAACAGATGGACCCCGTCATTTGCACAGAGACACAGATTTCAACGCTGACGCAGGAAGATCGCGGCGAGACTCGGCTTAATAACCCTGTAATTGCCGACATGACCAGTCGTTAAAACTTGGCATGTTCCCTGTTGCGCACTGAAGAATCTGTGCGATGAAGTTCGCAGGACCTACTGTCTTATGGAATGGGCCGCAATTTCGACCAGAAATTGCCAACGCAGGAACGTCACTTCCTTAGTGGAAACCAGCATATGCAGCGCACGCTACACAACTTCTTGCGGAGTTTCTGCGCGTGTGCAGTCTCAACTTGGTTAATTCTAACAGTGAGTCTTTTTCACTTCTCTCAAAGGCTCAGTTCAAAAGATTTCCAAACCCACCCCATTTTGTAGGTCAAAACTGATTGCCAGTCCAATCCTGGTCCAGAATTTTCTTGACCCTACAAAAGAACCCTACAACCTGAAACCCTCCTCTCGGACCCACGCGTGTCGTCAGCATGGTCAGACTGCGAATGTTGAATTATCAACAGCAGAAGATAAGGTCAGAAGTTGATGCAGTGGTTCAAGCACGAGCATGCTCGGAGAAAAGCTTCGGGGGAACGCCACTTGGGCCGCCCCCTGTTCGCACATTAAAGAGTTGAAGGTGTAGGCAAGAGTACGTTACGCGGTCTGTAGTGAGTGCTTGTTGGCTCGGGCTTATGATTGTAATTGAAGTCTGTGCCAGGTCCGCTCAAGGAGTTAGTGCCCCAACTTCGGAGGGCGCGAGCATTCAGGAAGTTTGCTCTCGCAAAGCTGAGCGTCTTCAGAGCCGGGAGTGGAGACCAGCATGTCTCGAATGGAGTGGAAAACGTGCTGATTCCGCCACCAATGAGCGGCCCTCCCGAGTGGGAGGCTCGCGTTTACTTTTCAGATCGGGTATCCCAACCATACGTCAGCAATGGCGTTGAAAAGAAGATGATCCATGAACTCATGGAGGTTCCCAAGCCACCGCAAGACATGATTGATCATACCGTGAACAACCCGCCGCTGGACTTTGGCGGCGACAGCGACAATGATGGCACGGCTTCAGTTCGCCGTGGCCAAGGCGGTGCAGTTACTCCACAAGCAAAGCCCAGCCTGCTAGCTCGGCTTGGTTCCCGAGGCTCCGCAAGCTCAGCCATTTGGTTAAGTTTATGGCGTTAGTAAGGTGGCTAATTTTCAATTCCTGTGAGCCAAGGCCCGCGAGGATGACCTGCTCTCCGGTCGTTCCCTTTCGCCTCCGCAGTCCCTTCGCAGCGACGTCTCCCGAGTTTCCCGCTATGAGTTGGCGCTGGCGGAGGAGCCGGAGGATCCGCCAGAGGTCGGGAAATCCAGTAATTAGATAATTAGTAGCAGCAGATGTCTGTGTTGCCCACATAATATAATGTTACAGTCTGTAGTTCAGGGTTGTCTGTTCAGGTTGTTGTTCTGTCCGACAACCGCGGAGTCTACGCGCACCATCTGGGAAAGGGCGAGTCCGTCTGGTTGCACAAAGGGCAGAAGAAGAAGGCAAATGCCTATGAGGTTCGGCGTCACTCAAAGAGTCTCCGTGAGTACATCTATGACAAGGGCACTGGCGACATTTTGTGGGTAGCCTGTCACCAAATCACTCAACCCTAAACCCTGAACCTTAAGCCCGAGACATTGTTTGTTGCGGACACAGTGTCCTGTAATTAACCTTGCGTTGGATTTGTTCATGCGCTCGTCATTATTCATGTGTCAATCAAGGCCAGCGTTCTCTTCAACAAGCCAGCGCCGCCTCCGATGGATGATGAGAAGGACGACGACAACAGCTCGGGGGATGGTTCTGAGGCTGGTCCTCAGCTTTTCAGGGATGGATTTTCGAGTTTTGTCAGGTCTTTAATCTTAGCAGGGCTGTAGTTCTGTCTGTAATAAGGTATCTAACCAAATGCCTGATGGGGTTTCTAGGCTTCGGGAGCTCAAACGGGCTGACTGTTTCTGCGCTTTCGCACTTCAGGAACGTAGATTGATAAATTCAGAACTTAGAGTTCAGCGTTTAGGGCTTCGGGTAGGGTTCGGGATTTCGAGTTGAGGTTTTGGGTCTAGGGTTGAGGATTTAAATGCTCAGGCGGGCTCAGGGCTCCGGGTTTAAACCACTGTCATCTAGTCTTCTCGTTTTCCTGGATTCCTTGGGCGGGTTGATGGTTGGGCCTGAAAACGGCGGTTGGGAAAAGCTGTCTGTCTTGGGCCCCCTAAAGACCCCATTATTCTGAATTTCTTCACCCCCAAGAAACTTGAACACGCGTTTATGATTCTTCAATTCATGACTTACACGCCCTCATACAGTCCTGCAACTATTGATCTCTGAGTCTGGGTATAGCCCAAAAGACGTCCAATGCCGTAGAAACAAGGCCTGGTTTTGGTGACGATCAGGATTTGAATGAGCGATGCTTGTGTTTTGAGTAGACAGGTAACACCCTCAAAAACATTTCATGATTCCATCTGGGAGTGTCAAGGAGAGTAACATGTCCACAAATTGCGGTGAAAATAGCTGTCGGGTCCTGTAGATGACGCCAGCCCCAGAACCCAAGGACATTTGGGTATTGGTCTAAATTCCCTATAGTACGGGGTCCTATATTTGGGTTCCCATTATAATACGGGTCCCTATATACATGTCTCCCATTTTGGGAACAGTAATTTAGGGAAACTTCCATTTCATTTCTGCGTGGTCCAACGGCCTACCCTGCCTAGCTATCACTGCACCGCTCTGACAAGCAACCCCTCAATCATATTGTAGGATTATGTCCCAGGCCTTTCTCCCGGCCGGAGCCACTTAACCTAAAACAACAAGTTTCTGCGGTTGCCACAGCGCGACAACTTCCCAACATGTCTGCCCAGGGGGCTCTGCCACTGGGCAATAATGAGGAGGGGCAGACGAAGAATGATGAAACGTGGTCGAGCGAGCCAGTCGTAGCTTGACCTGAGTATTTCACTTTGGACTTGATGGGCCATGGTATCCCTTGGTCAGGCAAGCGAGACGCTTCCTGAGATCCCAAAGCCAGAGGACAGCGGGAGAACAATTTGTTATCCAAGACGAATCTAAGTACACATTGGCCAGCGATAACTTGAGTTAATGTGTTGGGGCGTTGCCTGGTTGATCTTGCTTCCGCCAGTAGGCTCTCCAGACTGCTTCTTGATTCTTGCGCACTGAATGAATCCTTACACT